ACAGTACGTGCCTCCTCGCCCACCCGCTCCTGCACTGAAGTGTCACCTACAATACCTCCCCTGAACCTCCCCCGATCCTGACAACCCGTTATTTATAGACGGCTCCTCTTCCAAGTCAGCCGACTCCCGTACAATCGCTGGGTATGCAGCAGTCTCCCTCGACCCAGTAATTGAAGCTAAACCGCTACCCCCAGGGACCTCCTCCCAGCTCTCAAATTTCCTAATGTCTCACAGTATGCCATTTCATTAGCCTCCTCCAAAGACAAACAAGTCAACATTTTCACCAACTCCAAATATGCCCATCACATTCCCCATTCACACGCCGCCGCCGTCTGGCAAGAGAGAGGATTTCTTACTGCCAAAGGAGCCCCCACCACAAACGCTCCCTTATTTACCAACTCCACAGCTCCAGCGAAGGCAGGAGCTATACACTGTTGAGGGCACCAAACAGGATCAGAGGAGATCTCGAAAGGAAACAGGCTGGCGAGGCAGCAAAAGAAGCCTCCCTTTCTTCTGCCCCGGCCCCTCCTCCTCATCACCCCCACCATCCAACCCCCATATACTCCCATGGAAAAAGCTTCAATGCTGCAACAAGGGGCCTCCCTCCAGGGGAACAAGGTAGTCAAAGATGAAAAACTCATCCTCCTCAGAGAACAAACCAAAGAAATTCTAACATCTCTTCACCAGTCCTTCCACATCGGTGCCCACTCACTGTACCTCCTCCTTCGCCCTTATCTGTCTTCCCCCACCTACTAACCCACTGAAAGACATAACCTCGCCAGGCCCAGTGGCTCAGGCCTGTAATCCCAGCACTGTGGGAGGCCGAGGCGGGTGGATCACGAGGTCAAGAGATCGAGACCATACTGGTCAACATGGTGAAACCCCGTCTCTACTAAAAATACAAAACATTAGCTGGGCATGGTGGTGCGTGCCTGTAATCCCAGCTACTCAGGAGGCTGAGGCAGGAGAATTGCCTGAACCCCGGAGGCGGAGGTTGCGGTGAGCCGAGATCGCGCCATTGCACTCCAGCCTGGGTAACAAGAGCAAAACTCCGTCTCAAAAAAAAAAAAAAAAAAAAAAAAACATAACCTCCAACCATCACAGAGGCTCTGCCACTTCCTTTCAAGGGACCCTACACATCAGCTATGAGGAACACTCCTGGGGGAAGACTGGCAAAGAGAGCTTACCACAAGCCTCCTGCCAAGCAGGCTAAGTTTCTTCTTACTCTTATAAACACCTTCTCCAGCTGGGTAGAAGTGTTTCTCACCTCCTCAGAGACAGGTGCAGTAGTCTCTCAAATTCTTTTAACAGCAATCATCCCTAGATTTGGTCTCCCATGCCCCATACGATCAGACGGCAGCCCTAGCTCCATCTCCCACATCACCCGACAGGTCCCTCAGTCCCTCAGCGTGCAGTGGTGCCTCCACATCCACACCGTCCCCGGGCATCAGGAAGAGCTGAAAGGGCAAATGGGATCCTTAAAACTCAGTTAACCAAACTCACTCCTGAAGTACAGAAACCCTGGACCTCCCTTCCGCCCACAGCCCTAGCCCGCATCAGAGCCAGCCCGAAAGTACCCTCCTCCCTCAGCCCATTTGAGTTAATGTATGGCCAGCCTTTGCTTTCACAAAACAGGCCCCTTCTAGCTCTCAGCAAGGAGATTACCTCCCAAAACTTTCCCTCATCCACCTTCTTCTCCATGAACGAGCAAACCAGGCCCTCCTACCAGCATGTCTTTCTAAAACCTCCTCAACAGCAAGTGGGAAGGTCCCTTTTAAGTGCCTCTCACAACTCCCACCACAGCTAAACTCTCAGGGCATGTCTCTTGGTGCCACCTTTCCAGATTAAAAAGAGCCCCTGAAGCACCCACTGACCCACCCACTGCCATCCTCTGCCAATTCTCCAACACCCTCCTTAGTCCAACCAAACTCCACCTTAGAAGAAGTTAGCCCGTCCCCGAAAAAGACCCATGATGGGTAACTCATTCATATGTCCCCTCTGCCCCTGCTCCAGGTGCCAAGGCCCTCGAGACGGGAACAGCCTCTCCCCACAGCATAACAAATATTAGAAGCCCTCTCCTCTCTCCCCATTCCCACACAAAAAAAGGTCTTAACTTACCTATTCCTCGCTCATCCACAAGGAGAATTTGACTATCCATGGGACGCTATCAGCCACCTCACAGCCCCTACCAACTCTTTCCCCCAGAACTTCCTCAAGTCCCTAACTCTTCCAATAGCCAGCCCGACCGCCTCTGCTCCCTCAGAGTCCCTTCTTATTCTGCAAGCCTGGAGCGATCTCTCAATCTCGCTGACTCCTTGTTACTGCGCTCCAACTCCACGCTTGCTTCCCAGGGCTGGACCTGCTTTTCCCTTTCCTCTAAAGCCTGCTCAGCCACCCCAAATTCTCAGCCCTGGAACCACGTTCCCATTCGATGTTCATACACTGTCCAAAAAGGCTCTGCCTTTGCAGACAAAGCCCTCGCCCTCACCGGGGACTATCCCACCGCCCTTGCTCACAGAGCTACCAAACTTCTCTCACATACACTGCCCATCACAACTGCACAAAGCTCCCTCACTCTGCCATCCAAGGTCCCATCCTTAAGTGTCACCTCGTCCAACAGACACACAGGCAGGCACCATCCCTCCCTCCGCCTGTGGCGCAACTAAAACCATCTCCCATCCCTCACCCGGGGTAATTACTCAGTTCTCCCTGAAGCTAACGGCCTCTTTGCCCAGCCCCCGCATTACCTCCCTTCCTGCCTCCAAGGGGTCTCTCTCCTCCTCACTCTGAGTTGCTGAAGCTGATCCTAGTCTCTCCAAATGAGGAAACGAGGCACTCCAACACCTAGTCTCAATCCACTGGTCTGTCTGCGTTAACACGGCAGGCACCTTCTTCCTCTGTGGGTCCACAGCCCACTCTGCCTCCCGCCCACTGGACAGGCACTCACACCCTAGTCTGCCTTGCCCCCGACATTAGGCTTGTCCTCCAAGCCAAGAACTCCCTGTCCCTGCTATATTACATACCTGCCCAAAAAGACCCATACTGTCCATTCCCTTATTTCTAGCCCTCGGAGTCACCACCAGTGTTGGGTCAGGAGCCGGAAGCCTGAGAACCTAGTTACCACATTTCCAGTCACTCTCCGGAGACTTCCAATCGTCACGAGAAGAAACAGACTCTATTACTCACGTCCGAAACCAACTAGACTCTCTACAGCAGAATTCACCCTACAAACCTGCAGAGGTCTAGACCTCCTCACTGCTGAGAAAGGTTTATGCCTATTTTTAAATGGACAATGCTGATTCTACCTCAATGAATCAGGGCTAGTGCAGGGTGCTGTAAAAAACTCAGTGACCGAGCACAAAAACTTAGTCATCCCACCTGCCTCCAGTGGTTCCGAGACTCCTGGGCGCCCTGGCTACGGTCCCTCGCAGGCCCCGCCAGAACCCCGTCCTCCTCCTAGCATTGGGCCCCTGCGTCCTGCCACCCCTCACCCAGTTTTTACAGGACCCTGTTAAAGCTGTCACCCATGGAGAAACACAAGAGATGAAGCCGCTCCGAGAACACCAGCCGCTCCTGGAACGACAACCCGTGCAATGTAGCCTCCCAAACCAACGTGCCCCATCCAGCAAGAAGCAGCCCCTCTTCCATTACCTGTGAAAACGCCAGAACGCGAGGGCAGCTGAACCCCCACTCTGATTGCCCTGCAGCTGCATTCCTACCTAGGCGCCACAGCAAAGCTGCCGGACCTGCTACGATTGGGCGAAGCCTGAATGCAGCCACCTGGGCGCCTGGGGCGGCCATGGGAAAACAAACCTTCCTTCAAATTCCCGTTGACACGTCCTGGCTTTTTCTAAACCGCCGCCACAAAAGTCACAGAATAATGTAAGTCTGTCAAAACCTGAAAAGCGACCTGCGTACCTGTTCCAAGCTGATCGATTATGTCGGCCCCGAAACTCCCTTCCGCCCCCCTAACCCTGTATACACCCCTCGTTGTGTAAGCTCGGGGCTGCCTCCTCTGACGGTGACGGGGCAGCCCGGCAGGTGAATAAAACTTCTTACCTGACTTGGGTCAAGTCCCTTTGTCTCGGCTAATCTTAACCGTGCTTGCCCGTAAGGGGCTTCCATGACGAACTGCGGGCCTCCAAACCCGGCGCGGACCCCGATCCCGCCCCCCCCGCTGGCCCGCCCCCCGGTCCCGCCCCGCCCTGGCCCCGCCCCGAGGCCGCCCCGCCCCCGGTCCCGCCCCACCCCACCCCGGCCCCGCCCCGAGGCCGCCCCGGCCCGGCCCGGCCCCGCCCCGAGGCCGGCATGCCCCGCCCCGCCCTGAGGCCGCCCCGCCCCGGCCCCGCCCCACCCCACCCCGGCCCCGCCCCG